TCGGGGGGAGGGAGTCAATGAGGGGGGGGGGAAGGAGACATATGTAAAACTTTAGACAATAAACTTTAAAAAATTAAAAGAAAAAAAGTAAAACAAAACCAAACAAAAAACAGTACAAGGTAGTGGTTAAATACACTGGCTCTGGAACCAGCCTGTCCAGGTTTCAAACCTGGCTCAACCACTTACTAGCAATGTGTGTGATCCTGAGCATCTTGGCCTTTCTGTGCCTCAGTTCCATTTATAAAATGTAGTTAATAATAGAATCCATCTCGTAGAACCACTGTGAAAGTGAAATGAGTTAATGTATGTAATTCACTCAATAAATTTATAATTAGATGTGTATCAGAGTCACCTGGGGAGTTTATGTAAAAAATATATGTCATGGGATCTGTAGAAGTTGGAGGAACTAAGCCCTCTAGAGCAGTGGATTATATTTGGGGAGATAGTGGTAGTGTGTAGTAGAGAATTAAATAAGACTTTCTTCTTTGAAAGTCTTATTTCCAAGCCATTTGGTCAACAGACATTTCACCTTTGCTCTAGGGTATTTCTCCTCAAGCTCTATTTTCCTGTGGAATTTTTTTTGTTGTGTTAGTTTCAATTTGGAGTATATCTGATTTTTAAAATTAAAAAAATTAGTTATCCTTAATTTATTCCCTTTTGTTTAAACTTTGGAGTACAGCTTGGCTGTATTTTAATCTTTCAGCATTTCCAGTGCATTATTTTTTAAAAATATAATGAAATTACAATCAACAAAATAATAAAAAATGATGAGAACACAGAGAATGAATTGAAACATTCCATTAATAATAAAGAATCAACACTTATTCATGTTTAGAGGAAGCATGCTGCCAAAGAACTAAATCTAAAATTTTGGAGAATGATGATCTTATCCAAACTCAACATGTATTAAATCCTTTTTTCTAGTGCAACAGCAAAAACCTCTCCCAAACTAGCTTAAGTACAAAGGTTACCAATTGGCTCATGCAACTGGGAAGCCCAGGTGTAAATTTGGCTTCAAGCACAACTGGATATAGAAACCCCAGTGAAGTCATCAGGCTTCTCTCTAGTCCTTGGCTCTACTTCTCTATGTGATGTTCTCATTCTCTCCTACTACATACAGGTGTCTTCAGTGGGCAGGGAGAATGGCCAGCAGCAATAACTGATTCACATTCTCATGGCTGATGACTCTAGGATAAGACATATGCCATAATAGCTGCATTTATAAATCCAATTGCCTTAGTTTGGGTACCCAAAACAAAAACTCTAGCCAAAAGGATGGAATTCTCTCATAGGCTAGGCCTGGGTCACATGCTGATCCCTGTGTCTATAAGTAGGGGGTGATATTGGAAATCAGAAGAACTATGTATGTAAGAGAAACTGGAACAACAACAACAACAAAATGCTGACACAGTCTACTTCTCCTTCTCACATGCAGCAATAAAAACATATTTTCCTTCCCATATATAGTTCACAAACTGCTTTAATTTAACATAATTTAACTTTCCCACACTCAACTGAAAACATACCACTAGCTCTCCAGTGGAAGACAACACAAAGACACACATCGTTTCTACATCCTGCTGTGTGCACCATATTTCTAAGTGATTTGCATTCTTCCCAATCAGACCTGGAAAACAGGATGGGCAGCCAAGGACTGCCAGATCAGTGTCTTTGCAACTTAATGCAATGGAAAATCCATATATTCTGTCCTAAGCCCAAGGAAACTCTATTAGTCTCCCTCTCCAATTTAAACTGAAATTACCAGAAGGCAAGTTACATAAAAGTGTCCAACTTTTAAAAGACGAATTCTCAACCCTTAGAGAGGCACAAGCTAAAACAGAAACACCACATTATCTATTGCTCAGAAAAAATGAAATGTATTTTCTAGTTCCTTAAAAACAAAAAAATCAATTAACCAGGAAATTTAAGAGATTCATGTCACATTTCAGGAATTAACAGTGACTGTCAATAAGACTTCCTAAAGTTTATTTTCAGCTATTACAAGGATTACAACTGTTTTCTGTCTTGAAGGGACTCAGTTGTATAATGCGTTGAAATGCCAATTACGTTGGACTACTGTTGATTTATTCAGACACACTCTGCCCTGTGGGAAACACATAAACTTTCAGCCTTCACACATGATAACACTGGGAAAATATCAGCAACAACCCCTTGTTGCCAGTGCTGGTTACTTTCTTATAGTAAATGGCCCTGCATCTGTCTTCCTGATTCGTGGGTTTATGAAAGAATTATTATTTGACAGAAGTGTTGCTGAAGGGTATAACAATGATAAATTGGATCTCCACTTATACTGAGAATCTTGGGCTGTCAAAGCAGAATATTTTTTGAATAATTGGGAATCACATACATGAATAAATTTGGATATGGAAGATGTAATCACAGATGGAAGAAGTCCAGATTCATTAGACAAGTTGCCTTAAGAGAAAATACAATCATATCTAAACATTAAATCTGTTGCTTAAAATGTTAAGGCTTTTAAGCAAAATAGGCTTTTAAACTCAAGGCAATCACTTGGTTCTTTGCTCACACTGTTTTTTTGTGTGTGTGTGTTTTTAAATCTTTATAGTTGAAAGTATTACATATGTTCCCTTTTTCCCACCCATTGACCTCCTCCAGCCTGCCCCCACCTCCCACCCCAGACCTTCACCACCCTATTGTCTGTGTCCATGGGCCATGCATATATGCATACAAGGTCTTTGGTTGATTATCTTCCACCCACCCATCCTCCCCCACCTTCCCTCTGTGATTCTGCAATCTGTTCCATGCTTCCATGTCTCTGGATCCACTCTGTTCATCAGTTTATTTTGTTAATTAGATTCCATATATGAGTGAGAGCATGTGATACTTGTCTTTCTCTGGCTGACTTATTTCACCTAGCATGATACTCTCCTGGTCCCTCCATGCTGTCTCCAAGGGTAAGAGATTCTTCTTTTTTACTGCTGCATAGTATTCCATGGTATAAATGTGCCACAGGTTTTTTTATTCACTCATCTACTGATGGGCACTTGGGCTATTTCCAGATCTTAGCTATTGTAAATTGGCTCATACTATTTTGAATGGATTTGTGTGGAAACTGGAGAAGACTCCAAAAAGGTGGACAAACAATTATGAGTGATCGGTTCTATTTTCTGATCTTTTGTGATTAATCATAAAAAGCAGGGTCCCTGTTAGGATGCCAAAAAAGTTTAATTGACCTAAGTAAAATGACAATAATGTCCCCTACCTTGTAAATTTCCCATTCAGGGTATTGAATACCATACTTCCAGCTCAGAATTTTGAAGATGAATGTTTCTTTTTTCTTTTTTTTTTTTTAAATTGGTCTTAAATGAAAATCTTTGTCTTAGATTATAATGGCTACAATCTCAGATACTTCATGTTTTATGTAAAACTAGAGGCCCAGTGCATGAATTGGTGCACCAGTGGGGTCCCTTGGCCTGGCCTGCGGGATCAGGCCGAAACTGGCTCTCCAACATCCCCCGAGGGGTCTCGGATTGTGAGAGGGTGCAGGCCAGCCAAGGGACCCCACCAATGCATGATCAGGGTTGGGGAGGGACGCAGGAGGTTGCCCAGCAGGGGAGAGACTGTGGGAGGACTCTAGGGCGTGTCCAGCCCGTCTAGCTCAATCCCAGCAGCAAGCTAACCTACCAGTCTGAGCATCTGCCCCCCGGTGGTCAGTGCACATCATAGCAAGCACTTGAGCGGCCTTAGCATATCATTAGCATATTACGCTTTGATTGGTTGAACAGACGACAGGACACTTAGCCTATTAGGCTTTTATTATATGGGATGGGCAAGATTTGGAGTAGCTCAAGTGTTCATTAGTAGATGAGTGAATAAAAAAGCTGTGGAACAACTAAACAATGGGATACTACTCGGCCATAAAAAAGGAAGGAAATCTTGTTCTTGGTGCCAGCAAGAGTATTATGCTAAGTGAAATTAGCCAGTCAGAGAAAGACAAATGCCATATAATTTCACTTACATGTGGAATCTAATGAACAAAATAAACTAACAATCAAAATAGAAATAGGCTATAGATACAGAGAACAGACTGACAGCCGTCAGAGGGGAAGGAGGTCACAGAGCTGGGTGGAAAAGGTGAAGGGATTAAGCAAACACGCAAACACACACACACACACACTCACACACACACACACACTCATAGACAGACAACAGTATGGTGATTACCAAACGGAAAGAGTACGGGGAGGCTGAAGAGGGTATAGGCGGGATACATGGTGATGGAAGGCGACTTGACTTGGGGTGGTGAACACACAACACAATATACAAGTGATGAATTATAGAATTGTACCCCTGAGACCTATATAATTTTAACCAACCCCAGTAAGTCAATGAAAAAAAGAAAAAGTGACACAGTTCTTTTTCAAGGAGCTGTCAAGGGAGCTCAACAGCCAAAGGGGAAATGACTAGGCAGGGCTGCCAAAGGTAGCTTCTGAGTGTCCACCTGGGAACGGGAAGGACGCAGCCAGGTGGGGTGGAGGGAGTGGAAGCCTGTCCCACCTGCGCGCAGGGAACTTTTCTGGACCTTAAACCCTGTGAAAGCAAGAGCCTCCCATGTGATCCCCAGATTTGGCGCCAGACTCTTCCTCGTATTGCTCTTACCTCGGCTGCTGGTGCATGTATTGCAGGAAGAGGGGAGCGTGGGCGCTGGGGAGGATGAGTTCGGTGCAAGCTTTGAAAGTGTCAGACTCCAGCTATTTCATAAAGCGAGGCACTGCCTAGGGAGGCGGGGTCGGACCTAGGTCTTCCTTTACCCTGTCCCCGGCACAGTGCAAAGGTCCCCAACGTTTTCCTGTCCCACATTTCTGAGAGCCAGGGGACGTTCCCACTCAGTTCGCGCGGCCGCACTGAACGCCAGGGGCAGCAGCCTCCGCGCTGAGGACTCCGCACTCCGGGATCTTCACAGTCGGCCCCTCCCCGGAGTTCTCGAGGGTTCTCGTCAGTCGGCCCGCGGCGAGCCCCGGCGTTCACCTGGGAGGAGTCGACCTCTGCCGACTCTACCAACTGAATAGCGTAGGGGTGGGGCGGCTGAACATGCTGGGATGAAGGTCATAAGACGGAGAGTGAAGCTCCGGTAAATAACAAATAAATCTCCATTGTCATTTTAAACGTGGCTCGGGGCTCGTATCTCCTCAGAGAAGTAGGCACTTCCATCTTCCAAGCGAAAACAGACTCAGGCCTCCCCTGGCGTCTGGCGCGCTCGGCCTTGGTCTCTCCCGCGCCGGGCGACCCCGAGGTCACGTGCTCCCCCTGTCCTTCTGGAGGAACGTGCAAGCAGCCTGCGGTAGGCACAGCCGAGCCATGGCAGCCCTTCTGAGACCCGCCCGCTGGCTCCTCCGCGCCAGGGCG